GCCCAATGCAAGTATCGCACTTGCTTCTGTTTATGGGAACAACACCCGGCGCCAGATGGTTTCGACGGCTCGCATACGACCTTCCTATTCGAGTTCCAGATGCCCCACGACGGCCACGGCAAGAGCGGTCAGCCAGACGCCACGGAACGCCTCCATAAACGACGCGACACGCCATCCCTCCACCCGTCGGGCAGGCGACCCAGCTCGGCGAGGTCATCCCTGATGCGCGCAATCTCCTCTGCCGTGCCGGGCAGGTGGCCGAAGCGGCGGTGCAGCCCGGCCAGGAGGAGCCGAAACTGTTAATGGGAGATATCTAATATTTGCACATTGGAAAGGTGGTGAAGTATCCCGCAAGGCAGCCCCAGAGCTAAAAGGTGGCGATACCATGCAACTAAAGAGCCAAAATATGGTGCTTCCTTGCCTAGGTCTTGCGCCACCCAGACCACCAGCTGCGTAGGGATCATAAGGCTGCCAATGTGGAGATCCTAGTCAAGGCCCGCAATGAGGTCTTGGACAAGGACACCAAGTTGACAAGCAGCCGAACAGGCCTGCTACGGCTGGGAAAGGCGGCCTGAACCTGGGCTTGCCAGGCTTCCCCCTCGAGCGACTCGATCAGCAATGTCTCCTCGCCGCTGACATAGGCACCAGCGCAAATCACTTCCCCACGATACATGGTGATCGCCCCCCAGAACCCATCTTCCCCCCCGGCTCATGTATTGCGTGTAGGGTGTTGTTCGGTCCGTCCCGTCCCAGAAGCTTCAGTCGAACCGGTGGTTAGCAGGGCTCCCTCCAGTGTCTGATTGACGCCGAGAAAGCATCTTTTGTAAAACAGACGCAAGATAAGGCGTATATGGGCAGATAGGTCTCCATCCATGCTTCTCCTCCTCTCTCCCGTTGGTGCAGAAATCTTAAACTAGGAGGCTGGAACTAGGCCAGTGCCAACCTCAACCATGCCTCGCTCTTCCGAGCACCCTGGTTGGGAAGTCCAGCCACCTCCTTGGACTAATGGGTAGGAGTAGGGTTGCTATGATATCTACTTAGCATTGAGGCAGGTGATGCTCTCTGGTGGCTAAACGGGACATTCTTAGCTAGGAACTATCTTACTTTAACGTCTAGGCAGACAGGACTAAGGGTACATTTGTAGGGGAAGTAAGTGTCCTCCAAAACTTAAGGCGCAGCCTGTCATTCAAGGCTTGGCTTGTCTTCTTATTGAGACTCCCCATTGTTTAGCTAATCGTAATAATACATCCACAGGATAGAGCAACTAATCAAAGCAATAAGACAACAGCTAGTTCTAGTTCCACCCTCTCTACCCCTGCCTCCATCAATTGAAGATGTCCTTGGCCTTGGTTGGGGAAGTAGCATATGCATCCTTTCCATCCTCGTTGTCGGCATCCTGTTTGACAATCCCAACGACATTTGTCGACCAGCTGGGAGTATCGTCTATCTCCTCGTCATCACCATTGTCCCAGGCTGCCGCCTCCTTGGCCAGCCTCGCTATTAGGGGGGGATAGTAGCTCCATCATGGTATACTCTGCAAGCTGTGTCTCCAGAACCTTGTCGCTAGAGGTTGCAGTTGGGTCCGGGAGGAAGATCTTGGCTGCCCGCCATGCAGGACCTGTGCGACGTTCTTCGCGAGGAGGTTCATCATCGAGGTTCTGAGGTACTCCCCAGGAGACGCCCACATATCTTTCCGTCCAAACTCGGCCTAGTCGTTCCACCATCCGGGTATCTCATGCCGCTGCCGGAGGAGGATGTCGGGTGGCGAACCGAAAGTAGACGTACCTTGCCAGAGGCCAGAAGTCGTTGCAGAAGGTCAGTTCTTGCCTGTTGATGTCGTCCTCTTAGTCTACACCCTGCAGGCAGCAAACTTTCCAGGATCTAGGGGTGTCTCCAGGAACAATGACAAGGTTGGCCTTGTCGAGTGCCTCTTCGTATACCTTTCGCATTGGGATGCCATTGGCCAGGTTCCAGATATGCCCGCGGCGGTGTGAGGGCTTGCCAAAGAGGCTCTCGGCTGCCACGTCACCTACGCTATGCCTAACAATGTGGGCTACGCAGACACTGCTGGGTGGTTGAAAGTCGCCTGTGGTAGCACACCGAGTATACTCCTTAATGATCTACACCGAGCTCTGCGCACGCGGCTTCTTCGTGCACGGCACCCGAAGGCAAGGCCCGCCATTCCTCCGGTTTGCCAAGTACGTCATATTGATCGTGCCAGGGACCTTGTTCGGCATTGCGAGGGACTTAGTAGGTAACTTACCCTTCTTCTTGTCCTTGTCTTTAGGTGTCGTCGCTGGACTATCTTTGGTCTCTCGCTCTCGGATCTCCGCGGGCAGGTGGTTAGTGCATCACAGATGGCAGTTGCGTTTGCTGTTGCCTATTGCTGTCGCTGTCGCTATCTATTGCTGTTGCTGTCTATTGCTATTGCTATCTATCGCTCTTCCTGTTACTATCTATTGCTCTAGCTATTACTATCTATCACTCTTGCTGTTTCTGTCTATTGCTCTTGCTGCTGCTGTCCATCCTTACTGCCGTTGCTGTCCATTGTCACTGCCGTTGTTATAAATAGCAATATCGATAGCGATAGCAATGTTAACAGCAATAGCAATAGTAGGTACGGGCGTTGAACGACCGGATCCTGCTCGGCAGCGCCCCGCGCCACATCACCATCTCAAACAGCACCCTCTCTGCTGCACTCAGCCTCAGGCCCCAGATATGACTGGCTGGGATTGTGATGTAGGTGGTGGGTTAGACACTCTGCGCTGTGTGTTGCGCATGGTCTGATCCGCAAATGCAAGGCCCTCGTTCAGGCGCGCCTCGTCATACTTGGAGACGTCGTTGGGGGGGTTGGGGAACCTCGGCGACTCGATGATTTATATCAAGGACAGTGAGAAATGGGGTGTGCGCGATTGTGGGATGAACGAAATAAAGGGACGAAGTTGGAAGATTTGTTGGGACTGGTGAGGCAAAGCCAGGTGATCTGATACGCAGAATTCCTGCCTGGCACCCAAATCGGCCCTGACGGTCAACCAGGCTGTCTACAGCAACGCGGGGTTCTCGAGCAGCCTCGTGACGAACGACCACAATTGACAGATCCCTCTCGGCTGGCGGTTCCGCGGCCTCAAGATCTAGTTCATCCCAAGGTTGTACGGCGCCGAGAGCCTGCAGCCTACACCCTCGAGGCGTAGTTGGATGTTCTGAGAAGAGATGCCATGGAGAGGGGATCGCCTAGTGTGGCAGCTGATTCGAGAGGGCGGACATTTGCAACTGGAATGTGACAGTCGCCCTTCGAGGTTGCTGCTTCCCACCCACCCCTTTTCGCTCCATTTCTAGGGTTTTCACTGGCGTGCTTGCAACATATGCTGCAGCATTATCAAGAGAACTCACAACACGCAGCCTACACCTATTCAGCGTCGGATTCGGAGTCGCTGTTGAGGGCGTGTGCCCTGTGTCGCTTCCGAGCGACGTGGGCTTTGTCTGGCTGTTGTGCTTCTTGCTTTTGCTTCCCTTGGGGGTGCCGAACTTGATCGCCAAGCGGGATGGCGCCCTGCCGCTGTCTTCCATCTTTGTCTTCTGGAGGTGGCAGGGATGGTAAAGTCTTGGAATTATAGGTGTGTGGTGAAGAGGGGGCGAGCAATGAGCCAGCAGGTTGAAAAACTTGAGAATCAAGGGCTAAAGTTGACATGAATCCCCGTCGCCGTGCCGTGCTGCGGGAATGACAACCGTTGATTGACTTCTGCTGCTGGTCCACCAGTTGGTAGATCATGCTATGGCCGTCCATTTCCTCCATGACGTCGGCCATGGTGAAGCCCCTGCACGCCTCCGCCCACCAAGCCTTGGCCATCTCCCGGAGCACGAGGACGCCCGCGTTGGCGAAGACGATCTCGGAGTAGAGAACTTCGTTCCCGTCCAAAGCACCCATGGTGTCGGATGCTAGGTCGACGGCGACAGCAATTCCACGGCGGCATACAGCTTTGGATCCTCTTTCCTCAGGTTTAAACGCGCTGAACAAGACTTCCTGCGCTTTCTCGGGTCCGTTTTGATAACTCCGCAGCGTGGTCCGCCGCCCTAGCGACCAGGCGCCGGTGGCCCAGACGTCGTACGGCTGGCACATGATCACCTCGGGGGCCTGCATAGTCGTCCAAGACGCACCGCGTCTCTAGCCGCTCGTCGTCGGCCTCGGCGCCCAATGTTTCGGCTTCGTCCTCAAGGAACTTCGCGGGGCGCTCACCAGGGGGTATCAGCTCCACGCGCTGTCGTGCACTCTGCACTCGACTACCATTATCCCCGAATTCAACTAGAGAGAGCTGGACTATTGCCTGCCATCCATCGTCCGCGATCTCGTCATGGAACTCCCGAGTGCAAATAGAGAGAAAGCTCCTTTAAAGGTCGGCGCATATCCCCAACAACTACGTCAGCCGCTATGGTCCCAAAGGTTGGTCTCTGTGAGCGTTTGATTGGCTCTGATGCAGGACAGTTCAAGGGCCAAGTTTAACCATGGACTCCATGGTTTCGTTATTCTGCTGGCCTCTGGAACCCCCACAGATTTCGGAAATGACCGATATAGCCGACTTCTTAATCAGGCACTGGAACGAGGTGCAGCACGGCGGCAACCTCTCACAGACTCGATTCCCACAGCAACAACAACTTGCAAACCCCCTGGATGATTCTAGGGTTGCGCGTATCCTCACATCTGCGCAGGAGGAGAGGTCAACGGCGAGACTGTAGGAGATGCCGTGCATGTCGCAGATGACGGCTGTTCTAGCACAATAGCCACCTTGCGCTTCACAGTACCGCTCTTGGTCAACACCCTCCTCGCCTTCTTAATTCTTGGGAGTATTCTAGACAGTCGCAAGGCTAAGCAAGGTATCTAGGAAGCTTAAGCATCCTCCACGGAGCGGCTTTGAACCTACCTAGCAAGAAGAGAGGAGAAGAGCCAAGCTGGACACTTGATTGCCATGCTACTGCCGGTACCTAGATGACGTAGCCATGATCCATCACGCCCCCAAGCCTGCAAGCCAGCAAGTCACTTGCATTTATGATAATGTCGGCGCGCACGCCGCTACTCTTTTAGCTCATAGTGGCAGCATCCAATACATGCTTCAGGACCGCGCGGCGGAAGTTGTTGCCATGGGCAAGACTTCTTGAGCGAGCTTTTCCTTAGTGTCGATGATGCCGTTCCTTTCGAACGGCTTCACCCACGCCATGGTCTCTTATATCAACGATCCTAGCGTGAACAGCTCCCTCATGGTGACAGGCCTGCCCTTCAATGTCCGGCCCTGAAGCGGCAGCTTGTACGCAGCCTCCTTGTAGTTCGTGGCGTCAAAGGCTTGTCCCTGCAGTAGCAAGCTGGCTGCTAATGCAGCGTGGGTTCTTCTCCTAGCCGAGGCTAATAGGATCAACACGCTTTGCGTGCAGCTTGGAGCATGTCCGGCCCTGTCAGGCATGCAAGCACCTGAGACAGGCAGACAAGCTGTTATGCACTGTAGCTGCACCTATGGTGGTAGTATACAGATAGAAGTAGCGCATATGCCTACAATTCGGGTCTTGGAAGAGTGGCATGATGTTCATACTAGGGACGGGGAAATCGGGGACGCTACGGAGGGCTCCCAGCAGGCTTATCTTTGTATTGGCGAGTTTGGAGGCGGAGGCGGCGGAGGAGGAGGGGCTGTTGTCGCGGGGCATCTTGACCGCTGCTAGTGGTGGCAGCGCATCCGTTTCTACTGCTGGGTTCTCGAAACCGTGTTTGCCAAGGTCATAATCGCCGGTGCCAGCGCATCCCACTAGCCCAGCGTGAGGCACGGGCCGTCGTACCCGGTCGACTCGGCAACGGCGCTCTCCTACCACCCGGGCAAGCCGCCGAAGACGGCGTTGCGATGGTCGGCCTCCAGGGTCTCCTTTAGCGTGTGGATGACTCGCTCCAAGGGATGCCTCGGACGGCCGCGCTTGGCAGTTCGAGCCGAGTCACTCTCCATTGCCTATAGCATCGAGCGACCGTAAATACACGGCGCCTTAGAAGATTGCTCAAGTCAGGTACGTACAACCCATTCGGAACTGCCAGAGGGCTACAATTTGTAGAGCTGTAAACGTCGTCGAATTTGGGAATCCTTATTTTGTATCGGCGGCCCGATCGCCGTCCTGCTAGCCGATAACCGCGCCGGGGCCTGCATCAAACTCTCGACCAAAGTTACGAACCGTCTTGCTGTTGAGGCCCAAAAGCTCTGCGCCGACTTAACCTTATCCCTCTTGAGCCTGCATGCAGGCCCGGCGGGAGGAATCAGAGGCAAGACTAGCCCTTGTCGTCTATTTTTTTGTCGCTGATATCGAGCATCTCACACCCCATTGTCACTCCCGAAGAGCAAGTCTTGCCTGTCGCTGGACGTTCAAGTCGCCACATCGACTACGCGGCCCTGATGGCGTCCATGACGCTGCTGCTAAGTTACCTAACCCGTAAACCAGGTACGTCGGCCAACCTGCAGCCCCTCGCGGACCCAGACCTGTGGAGTCGGGAGCTACCAAAACCTCGACCGAATGATCTGGCAAGCCCGCATTCGCAAGTTGAGAGCTCAAACCCTCTGACTTGTGCAAAGCGCGTCTAGGGTTTAGACTAGCCTGTCTATCCTGGGTAGCCTTGGGAACAGCAAGCTTGCTGAAAGGACTGTTTCTAGTCATGCGGCTCACCCTCAGTGCCAAGGGACTTGCTCAGACTTTAAGTGTAATAGTTGCAAAAGAGAAAGCAAACTAGAAAGTCTAGAATCGAGAAAGTGTAGAAGGCAACGCCAGCCCAGGCGCTCATTTTCGACCGCATGGAGATGTCCGGCCAGGCTATTCCCACGGAATCAAAGAGCAACAACCGCATTGGAGCGAAGTCGCAGACTTTCTCAGACCCTTCCTCCAGTACAAGACCAGCCCCCCCTGGCTTGGCTAGCCCAGCAACTTCAACCGCAGCGTCTACCAGGTCACTAGCCCTCGATCTAAACCATCGTCCTCCTCATCAATGCCAGCCAGTCCCCCTCGCGCAGCCAAATCTAAGCTTGAAGTGCGGACAAACGGCTGCAGCTGCAGCAGCTGGGCGAGGACAAGCTGTCTAAGGGCGTCTACAGCGCCTTCAGCGAGCTTGTCAGGGTCTGGAACATGCCGATAGTGTAGCCATACTACGTCAAGGGCACGTTTTGGAACCGGTAGGGCCCTGAGAGCTAGCTTACCTAGGCGCTCGGCACGGCCGTGAAAATCGTCCTCGTCTGGCTCCTAGAAGCCCGATGGATTGGTCATTGTAAAGGCCATGCATGGACCCATTAAGGGCCGTAGAAGGCGCGGGATTGGACGGAGGGGGCTAGGCGTCTCCAGGTTGTCTTTGTATGGAATGGGAAGGAAAATCCCAGAGGTTATTATCATTCATCGGCGGACAGTGTCGAGAGGGTAAGAGGTGATACAGGCAACAGTAGTGACGCACCAACCGAGAGCGAAGACAATACAAAAGGCAGGCCTGGGAGAAAAGCGCAGGTAACCCTAGGTTTTAAGCCTAGCTTTCTTCAAATGTTTTATATAGTCTAACGGCTCTTTTCTCAGTAAAGCTCTTGTCGGTCGCCTTTGGCAGGACGCAGATGATCGAGAATACCGAATCACTGAGTCGGACTCTAGGGCGGGAAAATGGGCAAGATTTTAAAGGGGGCCCCAACAGCAGACGAAGGTTTCTCTCGCCGCTGGAGGTCGACGACGCTTAGGCTCCCATCCCCCATGCCCACCACCACCTTCTTGCCCCAACCAGCTCCTCCGGGGCCCTGACGATGGCATCAAGGCTCTCGTTGGCACGTTGAGCTGAGTCATTTCTTTGCTCTTAGTAGTTGCCCAGAAAGGATTTCTAAATCTTGGTTCTCCCACAACATGATCTAGCCGTTTGCAAAACTCGCTTACTATGTACCCATCCAACAAGCACGATGGATCTTATTGGCTGTAAATAAGAGAGCGTTTCGATTTGAGGCTCACCCTTCACCCTGTGCCACGCCCCACTTTCTTTGGCCCTCCCCCTCAATCCAACACAGGCAGGTGCCAGAGTAACTTGTGCGCCACACTCACTTTGGCCGCGAAGCTTGGTGTGGCGCACAAGCCTTAAAAAAATTCACTGACTTTACGGATGTACAAGAATGTCCCTTAAGAAAGAGGGGGATTACACTTTGAGTTAAGCGTGATGGCCTCTCGCCAGAATAGGGGGGGGCGGACGTTTTGCGACTTGGTCGCCGAGGCCGAGACCTTGCCGGACTATATTATCGTGGCAAGGTCAGATATAAACTGGATGAATTGAAGGCGTAAGGAAGGAATGGAATGCGGTGAATCAAGTATTATTGCGTAGAATCCTATGAAGTAACTAAGGTAAAAAGAGTGCTGCCTGCGATAACTGTGAAAATCGATGATTATTAGCAAGGTATCTAGGTTCTGATCACGATCTTAAATGCAGGTGTGGAAGGTCTGCGCCAAAGCTGACTCATCCTGATCTGGAATGGCCTGTGCCTTTTCCATTCACCACGTCATTAGGCTAGTCACCTGGCTTTGAATCTGACAATTTTTGGTTATCATTAGTAAGTTGGGGGATTGAAAGGCCTTGGGTGGTCTTAAAAATGCTGTGAAGGTGGCTACAACCAAAAACGCATGAAATGAAGTGGGCTACAACCAAAAACGCATGAAATGGCCCGGGAGAAAACCAGTTTACTGCGGACCTTAATTAGGCCGGTTCACCTGACCTTGAATCTGACACCTGCCAGGCCTTCAGTTAGGACCCCGAGGGTGCAGTTTTGATGTGAAGCCAATTCAACAACTGCGCAATACGGAAATGATTTACCAAGGCAAGTTTTGCCTGCAAAATTTAACCAAGCGTGCCATAGGTTATTTACTTTTCTTCTCATGACAGTCGGAGTATCTGTGAGTAGAGCAGGGCCACGTGACGCACCTGCCGAACAACATCTCGGGCATGAAAATTAAATTCCTTATCTGAAGTGGGGTAATCGTGTGGAAATAATACAACAACAATGGCGCGCCTGCTTCAACCTCCAATAACCCTCCACCGCCCGCTTCCCGCTACACCACCGCGCGTCATCGAACTTCTCCATCCCGACTACGCACCCGGCGAGAACATCCTTCTCGTCCTTCGCGCCCTTGATGATGGCGGTGTCGATTATGATACAGCCGTGATTGCCGCTGGCATTGTTGCTGGAAATATCTGGACCGGTTTCCTCGCTACCCGCAACCCTGACGGTATTCTCATGCCAATTGCACGCCCTGCCGATGGCATCCTCCGAGGGTGTAACGCATATTTCTTCCAGCTACCCAACACCGATGTCCTAGAGCGGCCCTACCCAGTTGTAGTTCGCTTCTCAGACTGGTGCTTCCCACATGACGATCTGCCTTCGCCGTGGAGAGAATTGCGACCTGCTCCCGATCAGGGCTCCTCATGCCGCGTTACTGACGCTGGATGGAGCGTTGAGAAGGCTTATCTTGTCCCAGTGTCTTCCCAGGCGTGGTGGATTCGTGAAGATATGAGCAGGTGAGTCGCGTGTGGTTCGCCCACTCTCACCAACAGATCCGCTTTAGCTAACAGGTTCTGCATCTAGATATACTACTGTTGACCGATTCAGCCAGGTTGACATTGACTCTGACGACAACACCCTTTTCCTCCGCTCCGACATACATAAGATATTCGACGAGAAAGTCTTTACAATCGTGCCGAAACGGAATATCTCCCTCGCACAAGATACGCCACAGCCGTCACATACAGAGGAGGAATTATCGCTTGTCATCCACATATTTAACGCTCTCTCCGACGCATACTTCAACGCTACCTACCACAACCGCCAACTCCTGCCGTTGCGGTACAGTGTTGAATGCCTCTTCGCTCGCTTTGCCTGGACTGTCTTTTCCCCAGGCGTTCTTGGCAAATTCCTCTTGCAATGTCTCACGCAACGTAGCGTGTTAGTTTTCGATCCTGTTGCACGCCGGTTCGCTGTTGAGACGAGGAGTCCCCAACAGACATCCGGCATTTACAAGGCGTCGCAGAGCAGAAGTTCAAGTCCGAGGAAGAGAGCAGCTGGGGAGATGGATGATGAATTTGGCAGTGTGTGTGGAGAGGATGCAAGCCAGGCTGACAGCGGATTTGTTGACGAGGAGGGCCTTTGTAGAGGGAGGACGATGAAGAGAAGATGGAGTGGTACCCATGATGAGGTTGTATTGAAGCGACGTTTACAACCCTAGATGTAGAGTTTGAAGGTTGTTGTTAACTTATCACTTAGTTTGTCTGCCAATGTCTGCCTTTTTGTTTTGTATATTGTAGGCCTAACGGGGCTTGCTTTTGGTAAACAACCCGCCTGTGCCGGTAGGAGTGACGCGAAAATGAATTGTGATGAGTTGCGAGAAGATAATTGGAATTCGGGGAGCAGCCTCATGGATAACGAGATCTGACCGGGAGTATAATATGAAATAAAGCTCCGTGACCGAAAGTGGGTCACCAGCCCAAGGGATGTCTTAGAAATCTAGCTCGGAAATATCTCGATCGCCAAGCATTGCCCTCAGACCCTCGAATCGGTGTTCAGGGGGGTCCGAATTAATTCGCCATGCCTCGGCGCTGAGTTATCAGATCCGAGACCCAAGCCCACTTTTCTGTATGAGTATGTCATTCCTTCTCTTCCTCGTCAGAACGCTGCTTATGACGCGTCTCCGCCCACTGAAATCTGAGTGGCGGGACGCTGTTCAGCGGCTTTAGACTCAGATTCTGGTCCGGATATCCATTAAAAATTATCTGCCGTATATTAGATCCGCGCCGTCAGGGAACAATGCCCATAATCCATGTTGAGAGGATATATTCTAGCCATTCCTCTCAAACCAGAGGACTTTAACGTCCTGCGTAGACGGGCTGGAAAACTCAACAGCCATGGCGCCGCGCGACTTCGAGCACGGATCTCCCGAGAATGCCGCAACGGGACAGCCGGCGCAATTTTTGCTATCCCGGCTCCGATGCCGAAACCAAAACCGGAACGCGGGCTTCACCCACCCGCTCATCGACCTCAAGTCTAGCCCCCGGGCCCTCGTCAGCTTCGACGGTCCTGGTGACCCCTATCGGCCGCTGAATTGGTCCTTCAAGAAGAAGGCCATGACCACCGTGCTTTATGGAGCAATTACGATGGGTAAGTTCCGGGCTTTCACTGCCGCCCCCAACTTAGCCCATTTCATTTCTGGTCTCTGACGCCTTTACTAACCAACCTCCCCCGTTTGAAGGCGCTGCATATGCAAGTTCTGCGTATGATATCTCGATTGATGTTCGGGTAAATATATCTTGATATACTGATGTATTTCCAGGTTCTCGCCCGCGATTCCGCAGGTCGGTAAGCAGTTCCACATTGGAAACGAAGTCGGCACCCTAGGCATATCGCTATTCTTGTTCGGTGTTGGATTAGGTCCTCTCTAACCCTAAGCCAATCTCTGAAGTGTACGGGCGCAAAATGACTGTCCTAGCGCCGTATTTCTTGTCGACAGTATTCTCATTCGCCACAGCTGTTTCCAAGGATGTTCAGACCATCATGATCACGCGGTTCTTCTCGGGCTTCTTCGGGTCTGCGCCCATCACCAACGTTGGCGGTGCGTTGGCCGATATCTAGACTGCGGAGCAGCGAGGTGCCGCCATTATTGTCTATGCTCTCACACTTGTTATTGGAACTGTTATCGCTCCCCTTGTGGGCAGTGCAATTGTTGCGAGCTATCTCGGATGGAGATGGACCGAATACGTACGTGATAGGGGTAATTCTCATTTTGTTCCTCTTCCCACCTGTCGGGAGGCCGATGCTGATAACGCACAGATAGCTGGCATCCTGATGTTGCTGTCTTTCACGTCAGGAGTGATTTTTCTTGACGAAAGCTATGCGCCCGTATTGTTAGTGTACAAGGCCCGAAGACTCAGGATTCAGTCTGGCAATTGGTCGTTGCATGCTCAACACGAGGAATGGGATGCATCGCTCAAAAAATTGGCAAGCAAATACTTAATCCGCCCCTTCCAGCTTCTAGCAACCCCAATCTGCTTCTTCATAGTGCTCTATGCCTCTTTCGTCTACGGTCTCCTCTACCTGAGTCTCGCCTTGTTCCCTGTTGAATTTTAGGAGATCCGTGGATGGAATGCAGTTGTGGGAGCGTTGCCATTCCTCGCTCTCCTGGTCGGATTCTCCTTGAGGCAGTCGTCAACTTGCTCAACCAGAAATTCTACACCAAACGGTACCGGGCAAACAACGCCCCGTTCCTGAAGCTCGGCTTCCGCCCATGATGATTGGCTCCATCTTCCTCCCTGCAGGCATAGTTATCCTTGGCTGGACCGGGAAGAAGGATACGGTTCCATCTGCAGCGCTGTTTCCATGGGCCTCGGCTTCTTCACCATTTTCCAAGCCGCGTTAAACTACCTGATCGACACCTTCCAGGAATACGCGGCGAGTGCGGTCGCGGTGAACACGTTCCTTCGGAGCGTCTTCGCTGGTGGTTTCCCGCTTTTCACGAATGCCATGTTTTATAACTTGGGTGTCCCATGGGCACAGAGCCTCCTGGGCTTTTTCGCATGTGCACTGATCCCCGTACCCTACGTCTTCTACACGTTTGGTCCACGTATTCGGGCCCGAGGGAAGTGGTCTAGGGCGTCGGTGAACTAGCTTGAGGTTTCAGGCGCAGAGTCTGGATCCAATGCCATGCAACCCGCTAGGAACCGTCCAGATCAACTTGCTCTACTCGGAGTCAACCTTTCCGGATGGGTACTTCATGCCCATCGAGACGACCTCTTCTACGGCAGTCATGCCCAGCCCAGTGAGGACGGCAACATGACCGAGGGACAATAAGGTGGCGAAAGGGGAGGATTGCACGCTGCGACAACAGCAGAGGCGTCGGTTGCTCGACAGGTGACCACAACATCGGCCCCGTTGCTGAGGGCCGCCACGATCGGCCACGCTCCTATATACGCATTGACTCCACAGACCGCGCCCTTTAAAATAGGGACAAAGGGGTATCTCGACTTCTGCTTTCTCCAAATCACCCCTCCTCCCTGCTAGACAACCCAAGCACATTCTTGAGATACCAGGGCAGATATATCTCCCTTGACCACCGAGCCAGATACTGAATGCCGTATATGATGCTATAGACGCCAAGGACACTGCGGGTGCTACCGAAGGGACAGTCCGCCCAGAGGATCTAAGAAACGAGTCAGCCAATCCAACCCCCAAGGGCATACCAACCACTTCAGAAGACAACATACCGTCCGCCGGCCCTCCCTAGTCGTACACGCAAACGCCCAATCATGCCCCGTGACGATAACAGCCGGGAGGAAAGGCAGCGCGGCGAGATCACCGCCGGCATCGCCGACGAGGCCGGCCAGGAGCTTCCACTGCGCGGCGTGCCAGGTGCCGACCTGCAGCCTAGCCTCCTCGCCGCCGGCGCCGGCCCTCTTGGTCTCGACGCTGACCGCCACGGGGTCGCGGCGCAGCGGGCCGAAGTCGCTGTGGTTGATGGACTGGCACGGCAGGCTGGCGCGGAGGGCGTCGATGGCGTTGGCTGCCTGTGCTGCTGCGGCGCGGGAGAATGTTGCGGGGGTGGGGGTGTTGGGAGGGACTTGGCTGTCGGATTGGGCGATGTTGTGGGGTGATAGGAGGATGCAGAAGTCGACCATCTTCGACGACGTCTGGCCTGGTAGGTATTCCTTGATGATTTTGGCTGAGGTGCTGTGGTGTAGTATTGCATGTTAACATCTCTTCGGTGATCAGGCTGTCCATCCCTTCCCCAAACACATACCATGATGTAAAATCCACGAGGGGTGCCTCGTCGCGCCTCCTGATGCCCAGCGCTAGTTGTATGAGGGGATAGTGTACGGCGCAGTTCCAGCCATGCTCTGTCTGGAGGCTGGCCTCGGAATATGTGGCGGCGGAGACAATCTCCCGGACGGTATCGACGGCGGGGGTGGGGCCGAGGGGGTCTCGCGTGGCCGGCTCGGCAAAGTTGATCTCCCGGAGACGGATCCTGGGCTGGAGCGTGATTGCGTCCTGTATGAACGGAGAGAGGGTTGAGGCATTAGCTAACGTACGTGCCACCTCAGAGCAAGCGTATGGGATAGATCCTTACACGGAGAGAGCTGGAGATGACAGAGATTCCACTCTTGATCTGCTCCATGTCGGCGATCAGCTCCATCAGGGAATCCGGGAGCGCCCTGTTTGCCTCGGTCAAGGGCCGGACCTCGATCCCCTCCGGCCCCAGCTCCATGGTGGCGAGTCTCTTCCTCGGAGACGAGGCCCCGGAGGTCTGCGAGTGTGACTGCGACTGCGATCGGGACTGGGACGACAGAGAGTGCATGTCGAAGTGGTTCGCCGTCCGCTTCGGCCTCGGTGTCTGCTCCTCCGTGTCGTCGAGCAGGTCGTGGACCGGGCTGCGACGGCGTCGCTTAGACGTTGGCGAGGGCATACCATGGCTGGCCTGGTCTGTTTCGGACATGATATCGGCGCGGGGGTGGGAGGCCGGGGGGGAGATGAGTGGGGGAGATGCGGATTGGGAGCGCTTCCGCTTCCGCGTCTCTACGCAATTGGAGAGGAGATGACGGGTAGCGGAGGGGGTTGAATTTGGCGTAGTGCAGAGCCAGTCGAGGATATCTTTGTGGGAATGCATTTATTGGTAGAATGTGGTGTTTGTTCGGGGCGGTGGTGGTGTTGGATTTGGATAAATTTAGGGGATGCGGGGGAGAGGTTTTGTTTGTTGTTAGTTTTAGGAACTGTTGACCCACCAACCAAAAAGAGGCTAGCGTCTGTGCATCGCAATTGGTCTGCACACAGCCATGCAAATTGTCAGATCCAAGGTCAGGTGACCGGCCTAATTAAGGTCCGCATGTAACTGGTCCTCCCATTTCATGATTGGGCAAAATACTCCGTGCACCTCCTGCTAGTCGCTGAGTGTCAGAGCGGGTTGACCAATAAGACAACTGGATTTTAGGTCTAACAACCAATCAGACTGGAGGATTCCTGGTTTGGGGAGCCAATAGGAGCCCAGTTAATTATTTCCTGAAGGCCTGTACGGATAATCATCGCTTCGCTCTAAGGGTCATTTTGGCTGTATTTTAGGGGCCCCAGCATTCCTGGTGACCAGAGGAGACCCACTTTTCAATACAACAATACGAATCGGTCTTGCGCACGAAATCCAGTGACGGGCTGGCGGCATTTATAACAGCTGGCAGTATCTCCTCGCCGTCGCCGGCGCCGTCGCTAGCCATTACCGTTGCAAATACTTTGGCACACCCAAACGCAATACTTGTGAGGTGACTGCACTGACTAGCGAGCTAATCTACCTAACTAAATGCTGGAACATTGCTAGAGATGCAAATCGGTAGAGGATACAAGACCATAAAGCAACTTGCGATTCAAGTTGGCATGTAAGTCTTTCCACTCACCGAGCAATTTGGCAAGAATATGAAGCTGAATATGGCCAGGGTATAGGCTCATATCTCTACGACACTACTGACACCCATAGGTTACAAAGTCTTTAATTGTAAGGCTATCACCTGGGGATCGATCGATCTTCGATCTCCTGCGTGGTAAGAGATTGATATGGACCGCTGCGAGTTTTCTGCTGCAGGCTGGGTGGACAAGGCAAAGGAGTTCGGGGGGGCGGTACCCCGGAGCAAAGGGCCATTTCTGCTTGCCATTGTACTCAATGACTCTAGGTAGATAGGCCGCGTTTGGGCAAGGAGAATGGAGACAACTTCTGGGACGAGGTCAAGGATAAGTTGGAGAGGCCGACAAACGCGCGGTAAGGAGTGTCTTTCCATGTTATAGTATAGTAGGTATATCTTCCGCTACCATGAATGAATGACCTGACGGTAAAACAGCGGCTTTAATGCTCTTCGGGTAGGGCTCGTAAACCGCGGCTCCCATGCATAAAACCATGTAAATCCTCACCTGCCAACGTCTTTCAGGCTGTTTCTCCTCCCGCTTATACCAGAATCCCCACATGTCTACCTAATACGTCCATGTAGAGACGAGAAACGCAGTCTTACAACAAAAGAGACAGAGATGGAGTGGGGCAGCAAGGCTTGTTGTTCGATAGCAACCTTCTTCTCAGCTTTGCCATATTGCTTGGAATTGGTAGATCCTAGAGTTGCCGCGTTGCTTTCCATAAACCTTACTAGGAGGGTTCACGTCTGTGGATATACCAGAGGGTTTGACTTTCCATGCGTACCTTTCCCAGCACACCCTTCTGCACAGCAACGGCAACCTGCTAGAGTGAGCTGCTATCCCAACTGCGACTAAAGTAAGGGGCCGGTGGCACAGAGAACGCGGAGCTCGAGTCTGATTCTGGAAGGAGCAGAAATGGATCACAGGCATGTTAACTAGAACATCCCCAGCCCTCCCCAGCCCTCTCCAGGCCCCGCGGCGACGCCAAGTTTAAGGCCTGGAAGGCTAACCATGCGGTTTTGCAAAGCATTTTAGGCAGGCTGCTGCAATTCTTAAGTTCTTGTTTTTACTAAGCCGTAAAGTGTAGAAGTTGCTGAAGAACTACGTTGCTTTCAATCTACACTGCCTTCTAGCAAGTTTTTGACAAGCAGGTTCTGCCCTCTAGGGTATAATCCTTAAATCAACTAGGGAGCTTTTCTCACAGGCCAACTGCTCAACAACCAAAACTAGCTGCGCAAGTGGAAGGCAATCAGCCTATATAAGCTGACAAGCTTCGATGCTCGCGCAAGACCCAACCACCCGCCAAGTAAAAGTGTACATGTATGGACAAGCCAATCTATGAGATTCCGATGGAACCTAATAGCGCAACCTCCAACAGCTGGCGCCCAATGCCAATAAACGCGCGCGGCGATCTGGACTTCGCAGGCGCAGAGGTAAGCCTCAGTGCACTCAGCATGTTCACAGCAGTAACCTTCGACATCCATCCAACCAGCCAGCGCGTCTTCCAGAGCTTGGCCTAGGATCCACTCCTCGCAAACTTTGACGCCATCGCCAGCAGCATGAGCCTGCCAACTACAACAATAGCTAGCAGCTGCAAGATAAAGCTGCTATGCCTAGTCATCCCAATCGCTATTGGCAGCAACGCAAAGATTATGGCAAGCGCTGTTATGAGAATCTGGTGTAGACAGAGTAACAAGGCGTAAGCAACGGCATCTAGAATACTTGTGCCTCAAGGCCTATACTGGTTTACAAGGTTGGCAAGCTTGATAGCATTTGTCACCACAATGCTAATAGGCATAAGCATGCCAATAAGCGAGGCTACACCAAGCGGGATGCCTGAGGCAATCTGTAGCACAATTGCACTGGTTGCCAGGAAAGGAATAGAGACAAGCAGCAGCAGTGGCTGTCACATCAATCTCGATTTTGCTTGAGCCACCAAAGCTACTTGACAAGGAGACAGTTGTCTTGTCTAACCCCCTAATAATTCTCAGTTTGCGCTTGGTTGTGTTCTACGCAGACTTAGACTTCCTGATCATTTCGAAGAGCATGGGACGATCGGCGAAGCGGGCCGCCGACTCGGTGGACTTCATCAAGTGGATTCTCTACAACAGCTGCGTCAGGGCCAGTGGCAGACAGATTCCGGCCTGGCTACCGGTGCAGATGAGCCACGCGTTCCTGCCGCAGAAGCTGTAGAGCAACTACGTGCAGGCTACTTTCAACGAGGTCTATGAGCTAGCCTGGTACATCGGCTCCGGCTTGGACTTTTCAGAACCCCATGGTTGTAGCGGTGTCAAAACCGGCCTCATCACGTTGGCGTTTGGGTGGGTCGGATTGCCTGCACCGAACTTTCTCGGCAGCACCGATGGAGCCTGGCTGGCCGTCGTCATCCTAGCTGTCTGGTGGACGTTTGGGTTTAACTTTATTCTCTACAAGGCGGCGTTGCAGGACATTCTGGGGGAGCTCTATGAGGCGTCGATGTGGGCTACTTTGTGCTGCTTGTCGTCATCTCGGCGCTGTCGGCCGTCTTCACCATCTTTATCTACTCGATGGTCAGATTCGCGCTTGCACATCTAAATTCCGAGGCAAGGGCATCATTCTTAGGCTTGTGCTTGCAGGCTTCATAATACCTGCGGCAGATGCCTACCCTGACGCATTTGTGCAGCTCTGGATGGGCATTGCCTAGCTTACTCGCGAGGCAGCGCGTGGACTTGGCCTGGAGAAGCTCGCCAAGGAGGAACGACGCGACAGCCTGCTATTTTTTATCGTGCTGCTCACCATTGCTGGAGCGGTGGTCGAGCGGTTCTTTGGTTGTGGTGCGTCAGAGGGTTATAATCTTGGAGAGGAAGTCCTTTACGCGCATGCTATGCAGATTCGTGAAGGACCCCTTGGGCTTGGCCTCCTCATGATCTTGCCATCGGCCACAGCCGTGCCTTTCAGGCACGCCTTATATCATAGGTGATCACAACCATGGCCATGCTGTCGTGGGCAAGTTCGATCATCACGTCAAGCACCTCGTTGATCATGTCTGGGTTGAGGGTCAAGGGCTGCTTGCCGAAGAGCATGGCTTTCGGTTGCATAGCCAGCGCCTGGCCAATGGTTACGCGCTGCTGCTAGCTAGCTGCCAGAGACCTAGGCAGGTAGTTTCTTAGCCTAGTCGGCCACACATTCGAGCAGCTCAATGCCGCGCTTGTCGGCCTTGGCGTGGGATAGCCCGTGCACCTTGCCTGGGCTGAGAGTGACGTTCTCGAGGATGGTCTTGTGGGCGAAGAGGTTGAACGACTGGAAGACCATGCCGACAGTAGTGGCGGCAGATTTAGCATCTGCCATGCGGGATGGATGTATGCCTATATCCAATCACACCCCTAGCTGAGAGTCAATTGCCCGCGCCAGTCGTCATCATTCCATGACTATTCTTGTTTGTGCGATGGACGCAAGCCAAGTCCCATGCTAGCTGCGCTGGGCGAAGGCGCTCTTGTATAGGCAGTTGGATGCCGCTATGGCAAGGTTCATGGATTCGGCGCTGCCATAGACCGACATGGTGATGGCGGCGCCGGCAATCGCGAGGTTGTCGTTGTCGAGCCTACGCACCTCGTTGCCGAACAGCCACGCCATTGGCTTGCCTAGACAGGCCAAGTTATAGGCAACTAGGAGGTCCTTGCCTTTGACGTTGGCAGCAAGCACCTGCAGCCTAACAGCCAAGGCGCGGGCGCGCACATCTGTTGGCGTCGCTTCTACCGTGATGGGGAGATGGGAGATTGACCCGGTCGAGGAGAGCATGACCTTGGGGCTGTACAAGTCCACGCTGCGACTAGTGAGAGTCACAGTATCGGCGGCGGCAGAATCTGCCGCTCAGATGATTGTGCCGGCGTTGCCAGGGTCACGTACCTCTTCTAGGATGGCAATGAGACTCGGCTTGGTGCCGAAGACGTCCTTGACCAGGGTCGGGAACTGACGGTACATGGCGACAAAGCCCTGCGAGGTGACTGTGTTTGCTATGGTGTCAAGCATATGCTTGGCGACGAAATCAATGTCGACAGCCGCGTCACCAGCTGCCTAACTAAGATTGTGGTACTGCTTGAGCGCCTTTGGTGTGGCAAAGAGCTCCACGACCAGCTTGGCGCGGAACGTTAGCACCCTGGAGACGGCCTGCGGCCCCTCCAAAAGGAAAAGCCCAGTCTCAAACCAAGCCCCTCGCCTTGCCAGCTTGGCAGCAGCTCGAGCGCAAGGGGGATGTGGATTGTCTAGCATGGGCCGATTCTATCCACGCGGAGTGACTAATCCGAGCCGTGGCAGGCCCTTGCTACCAGTGATCTGGAAGCGCTTCTTTGAGGATCGTGAACTTCGCCTGGTTTCGCCTGGCGTCTTTGGCCTCCTGCGCAGCCTCGTACTTGATTGAACATGCCATAGTCCATGATCTTTGGCCACTGGAGGCTTGGAATTGAAAGCGACCTAAATCAACCCCTGGTCTGCTTCCTGCGCGAGACGAAGGCGACCTCGATTTTCACAATGCTGACCTGTTCTCTGCCGGGACCGACAAGATGAACTTCAGGGACGCAGATTCGGCTGTTGGTATAGGGATTGCTGATGCGTTTCTCCTCTGCCTAAGCGATACATCTCCTTCCAGTGCTACCAAGTTCGACAAGACCCAGGAGGCTACGCAAGACATTACAGAGGTGCCCGCCGTCGAGATCATCACCACCACAGCTATGCACCTGATAAGCGCCGCCGCTGTGAAACTCGGGCTTGGCGACAGACTGGACGCCGCTGATGAAGTTCGCCTGTTAGCTAAACGCGGGCACCGGCGGCCTGCACGAGCGCGTCGCCGAAGCGGGAGATTTCAGACCGTTCGCCCAAAGCCTGCCGAATCCCCTGGCCGAGCACGATGGCCACGTTTTCAACCATGTAGTGCATGTCGATCTCAAGGTCAGATCGGTGAGCGAGTCCCTTGTGCGAGCGCCGTGAGCAGGTGATTGTATAACGGCACCAAGGTGTGGATCTCAGCGCGGCGGTGCCGTCAAGGTTGAGGGAAAGCTTGATGCTCGACTTCCTAGTCTCACGTTGGAGCGGGGCAGTGCGGTTCGCAGAGGCTATACCTTAAGACTTTACCGGCGCGGTAGCTCACGGCGCCAGCGGGGCTATTGAGTCGAGGAACGTGACGGAGCCGACGATGACCAGCCTTGCAAGGTAACCCCCCGCCTTGCCCTCCTCAAACTTAGAGATGATGCAATCCGACACAAGTCTGAAGTTTGTCTCCAAGCCAACCTCCAGCACAACGCAGTAGTAGTTCAAGTCAAACCACTTGGTCATCTCGAGCCAGATGGCCAGCTTGGGGGGCATATCCTTGCCGCCCAGTTTGATAATGCAATGCAGCCAGGCCGGGGACATGACCGGCATCACACCAGGGAGGATTAGGAACAGCACGCCGGCAGCGCTAAGCAAAGCCAAGATAGTCCTCGGCGTGGAAGAGCAGCTGGTTGATAGCCAGCCAGGTTCGCGCCCTTGGCGAGGGTCATGTCAATGTCCCAACCGCAACTTCGGATGCCCATTCGGGAACGCGGTCGCGGCGATGCTCACATGCCGCCACCTCCGGGAAGTCCGGGAACAGGCACTTCCTTCCGCATACAGCACCCGTTCGGCGTGCACACGGCGGACAAGTCGGCGCTGCTGCGTAGGGTTATCGCGTTGGCGTTCTCGCCGGCGGGCGGGTACCGCGTGATGCTAGCATCTAGGAACTCCCGGTTCAGGGCGTTGGCTCTGCATACGAGGAGCCGACGCATGTGAGGTGGGCTACCGCATCCACTGTCGTGTTGCAGCGCAGCAACTCGAGGGAGGGGAAATGCGAGGAGCCATTGGCGCCGTGATGAAGTCAGGGTCAGCAACGGCCTCGCTTCTCGGCAGGTAAAGCTCGAAGGAGAACAGTACGGTGCGACAGGCGCTCTCACCAGCGCACGGGGGCCATCGCCGTGCCCCGCCGTCTGATTCATCAACCGTCTCTCGTCTAGGAATCCTGAGACGTTCGATGCTGGAGAGGCACGCGTCCCGGGAGAGCTCGGTGCATCACGGGCGGGCGCCTGGCTCGGCTGTCGCTTTCACGTCGGGCGCGGCGGCAAGCCGTATACGACGTATCGGAAGACTCTCCTGGGCCAGGGGTAGGTCCTATGCCAGGGTAGGATATCTGCAGTGCAAGACATTAAAGACAAGTGCATCATTGGCAGCGGGCATAGCAGTAGGGCAGGGAGGAAGCGCTGGCGTGGCGGGCAGGCGGGGATAGCCAAAGGCGAGGCGGAATGTGTAGCGGCAGGGGCAGGGGCAGGCCCGGGCGAAGGTCTCTTTGAAGAGGCGATGCGTAACGTCTGCGTCGCTGGCAGTGGATTATTTATGGCGACTCTGTATGCTAAGGAGGGCGATGGCGTGATGATGCCTGTCTTGGTGTCTGGACATTTGCGTTGGGGGGGGGGGGGGGGGGGGGGGGTTGGGGGGGGGGGGGTTTTTTTTGTGTATGGGCGGGGCGGAAGGGGGGGGTGTGGTTGGTGGGGGGGGGGGGGGTGGGTGGTGGTGGGGGT